AACCCCCATCCTTCAAAACCCAACCCCCACTCTCCAAAACCAACCCCCCACCCTCCAAAACCCAACTCCCGTCTATAAACCCCAGCAGTCGGGTTTATCTCCAGGTCGAACTGCTGGTATTGCAATAGCTGTATTACTTATTGTTGTTGGGGTATCTATAGCCTTGATGTGGTATTATAAAAGAAAGCGACCGGGAAATACAACTCGGATACACAGAGGAACAGTGGCTCTACAAAACACCCAAATCCAGGGAACAGTGATGAAGAACCCACAACAGTTTTCTGGCTTTAATAATCCTATGCAACAACAACAGGGGACTGGATTTGCTCTAGAGCAAAATCCGTCACAAAATAACCCTCAAAACAACCAAGCCCCTATGTATGCAAGTCCCGATCAACTCGATGACGAAGGATATGTGGTTGCCAAAGACAACTGTATTATCATACCTATGAGAATCCGGATCAAGTGAAAGATACTATCTAGCAGCAAAGTTGTCCCCAGCTGTATCCACAGAGTGCATCCAATGCCTCCAACCCTCATCCTTATAACCCTCATTATCCTGGCAATTACCCTTGATATCCTTTATTTTCCCCACTAGTATTCTGGGTAATGTTTTTATAACATTTTGAAGCATATAATAGCTTATTCTGCCTTACGATTTCATGTTTATTATATACCAGTACTCTTGATAACATATTTGTAACATTAGAAGCGTACAATAACGTGCACACGTAAAAATCTCATGCACAACTTGTCAACCGAAGATGTGTTCGCAACAGACGCAACAGGCTTGTGGCAAGCTTGTCAACAAGTCCTAACAATGTTGTTACTTTATCAAGTTGCTACAAAGTTGTCACTCACAACTTGTTATCAAGATGTTGAATTGCAGAACGATAACAATTTGTTGGAACAACTTGTAACAAGTCTGTTGAGCTCAACAACCTTGTAGCAAGTTGTCAACAAGCCGTTGACAACTCGTGAACAAGCTGGGAACAAGCAATGCGAACACATCCTGTTGACAAGTTCTTGAAACAGCATTGCTACAAGTCTGATGCAGGTCTGTTACAACTTGTGTGCTTTAATTTACGTGTGTAGAACGTGCATGCACCAATATTTAATCTGATATAACATTTAAGTATGGCCTAATGGGGATCTTAATTCTTAAATATAGGATGTCAGTTAATGTTAGTTGTTTTTTAATAGTAAGATATCTTGTGGGATATTGTAAAATGTCAGTTCCAAGTTGTTTTTCATCGTTTGTCAGCCATTAGTTGTGTAGGAAAAGTCAGGTCCAAAATGCAATTGCATCGATTGTCAGCTATCAGTTACTGTAAGATATCTTACCCTCGATCTTACCAGTTTTTGGTAAAAATACGGACAATTTGATCATCCACTTGACCTCATCCAGGCCATCATTTAAACGTATAACCTTCATCTTTAATTATTTTATATATTACATACGTTAGTTCTTGTACGAGTTTTCTTGTCATAGGAGTTGACTGTCTCAGATAACTCCTATGACAAGAAAACTCGTACAAGATTGTATATTCATTTTTTTACTACAGAAAACTTGTACTTATTGTATATTCATTCTTTTACTACAGAAAACGCGAATGTTTTTGCAAAAGCATTTTTTTTGTATGAATGCATGACAATATTACTGATATATTCTTTTTACACTCCAGTGTGGCAAGTAATTTATGTATTCATTGTAATTAATTTAGAGGGTACTACAGCAGTTATGTTTTGTTGTTTAAATGCATGTTAGCCTCTTTAACTCCTTAGCGACAGGTGTAAAACTAGTCCGATTCTGGAATATTATTTTGCACGATTTTGCCGGTTTCATATCTTCGGTTCGGTACGTGCTATATAGATGAAAATACAATAATGTCTTAAAAATTTTGTAAGTTGCATAATTATACCCATTTTCAAAATTATGCGACTAGCCCAAAAATAATCCGATATACAAGTTTTTACAAAATTGTTTTACGTCAATCCGAAATTAAAAACTTAGAATTTACCTATGCAAAATTCCTGTTGTGATCACAGAAACTTTGATAGTGGAAACCAGGGGTGTAGAACAGGGGGATTCAAACCCTTGTTGGAAGCTCAAGGGAGGGGGGGAGGGGACTGAACCCCCTTGTCAAAAATTTCATGCCGGTTTGGGGGGCTGACCTCCCAATATTTTTGCGGATTGAATGTTCATAACCTGGAAAATTCTTTGCAATTATAGTAGAGAGGTTAAGATACTTCGGTTCCGGTCTACGGGTACGAGTATCGCCATTTTGTTTACCAATTTTTGCTGATGTCAGCATTTTTACCCGTAATTTCTACCCGTTTCCCCGCGGTAAACCATGGTCTACACATAAAAGAGAAACGGGTACGGGTGTTTTGTGTTTACTATTTGTGGGCCGTTTAAATAGTAAAAATTTTCAACATCTTATCCAAATAAATAATGCACTTATGCTTGTCAAAGTTTTCAACAATCTATGGCGAACCTCAACAGCGAAAGTTGCCATTCTCTGATAGGTTTACGCACGCCGGAATATCTTGGATTTCTTAAGTTACAAGTCGTTCCCCGGTTTACGGGTACGGGTACGTGTATATTACCCGTACCCGTAAACCGGAACCGGGGTATCTTAACCTCTATCGTCTTCCTTTCGAAATGTTGGTTAATTACTATAAGTTATAGTACTCAACCAACAACAGAAGGGACATTTTTTGAACCTCCTAAAGAGTTTTGCATGTACACGGGACCTTTAGAAATCAAATGAAGTTATTGTTGAAATTTGAATGCGTCCAATTGATATGAATTATGTGCTGATTCAGTTAATAGTTTAACGCAGCGCGTAAAACAGTACAAACGCGTTCCTCTTTCATACGATTAAAAGCTATTTAATTAATTTTAGCATCAAATCTTGTGCTTAATTAACAACAATAGCCTGATTTCTGAAAGTCTCGGCAGTTTTTCGATGCACACTAAATGACACTCGCCCTTCGGGCTCGCGCTATTTTAATACTCGAAACTTATAACCAATCATATGCTATTATACCTATCCAAGTAAATGTTTTTCTGTAAATTCTTACCAAACACTTTTTATATTCTTTATATGCAGGCAGTGAAACGAACGTCCCACCAGAATTTATTACAGACAGAAAATATGATATATCGAAAGAGGCCGTGCGATCTATTGGGATTACAATATATGAGATGTTGTATGGTCGAGCACCTTATACCGATTATAAAAAATTTTCAGATGTAATATCGGGATTACCACAGTTGGATAACATATCTGATGGTAGGTGCATTATATTCATATTTGACCGGGGGGTATTATCACTACAATGTACTTGAAATTAGAACAAAGTGAAGGCCCTTTGTCTTGGAGTTACTAGCTATACCGTATATCTACAGACAGTACTGGATATTTCGGTTGGAGGCTATTGTAGATGAATATTTCGAGTGTGTTTTAAGGTGGAGTTACACGAGCAACAAAATTGCTGCAACGTGCAACAAAATCTAATTTCTACGCATGTTAATTGAAAATGTTTACACATAAATTACGAATCACAAGGCAACATGTGTCGATATTTGTACTTAACATACGTTGCAGATTTTGTTGCAAGTTGCAGCAATTTTGTTGCTCGTGTAACTCCAGCTTTATACTAAAATTGTCTGTACCAGTGTAGGTAGTACCAATGTAGAAATGCTGTGCTGAGTGGTTATATTACTACCTTTAAAAATAAGCAGAAACTCGACGTTTCGAGCAAAGGTCCTTCGCTCGAAACGTCGAGTTTCTGCTTATTTTTGAAGGTAGTAATATAACCACTCAGCACAGCAACTCCAGCTTTACACTCGAAATAACATCTACAAAACCCTTTAATATGTTAGATAGTTTAATGCCCAAAATAATTCTGAATATTAGATATAACCTGCCTAAGACACAATATAATTTAATAAGGTTTAGATATGACTTCCACGACCGCTACCACTACATTTCACTGGCTTAGTACGCATCTGATTGGTTGATAGGATTTATTATTTATTTGAAAGATTCGTAGTTTCTGATGTGAGAGAGGGTATACCGTATGATAGCTTTCTTATAATTATGAAGTTTTATAGTAATACTAGGTCGATTAGTGATTAAATGTACCCGAAAGCCGAGAGAGGTTTACTAAACCTCTCGAGGCTTGAGGGACATTTCATCACTAATCGACCGTAATGCCATGCTATTACTTTGTAATATCATAGTTGCCGAGGGAATCGCGCGTGGTGTGTTGCCTGTTTTGAATGCTGTTTGATTGTCTTATGATTGTGGTACGAACACTTTTCATATATACGCACGCGCAGAAACACATCTCCGTGTTCATTCGTTTTAGGCATGCGCATAAACGGAATTTTCTCCCACAATTGTAATGTTCAAGATTAGGGAATAAAAGCTGGCAAAGTGATTGTTTGAATGTGTACGGGACGGTGTCGTCAGATACTGTCCATAGTTGTGCCGATGATTTTCGATGAGGTACAGCTCTCCAATCAGAGGTAATGAGGTACGATTAGTAACTAATCTTACCTCATTACTAAACATGAGGTACGATTAGTTACTAATCGTACCTGTTTACTCAGCTTGAGGTAAATGCGACGTTAATCGTACCTCGTAAGACAAAAGATTTTTCTAGGTGACTATGATATTACAGTAAATAGTATGTGAAAGGCTACATACCAAACAAAAACATGAAGCCAAGAAGGCCAGGAGTATTGTAGCTATATTGCAAACCAATTGCCATTTGTGCTGGGATTAACTACCTTGACTATTGCTATATTAGTAAAAAAAACTATCTTGACTTTTGCTAATGTAGTCACAAGAACAACCTTGACTATTGCTATAGTACAGTAGTCCATGTAGATGAAATTACTTTAGTAATTTTGTTAGTATTTGCATTTTTTAGTATATATCTCCTTGGATGTATAAAAACTGTTGTGTTCATCATATAATGTGTTTCACATTCCTTTTGAATCTATTTGCTAAAACACCCTCTGGGTATAATAAGCATCCAGCAAGTATACCCATATTCTTGGGTGTCATATGACATCACAAAAGTGACGGGCGGTCAACTCTAAAACAAAACACAGTTATCAGAGTGAGTCGATTGTTCGTCTTATGTATTAGCTTTGTGTTCGGTGGCGAATACATGGAATTTCGTATCATTTTCTCACTCCACTACAGCATAAGCATCAATACATTTGAGATTGACCCCCCGTCAGATTCACTGCATAATGCTGTAGTGAAACCCAAGAATAGGCAACCCCTGCCGTTAATTAAGCACCCTCTGGGTATAATCAGCATCTGGGTATAAGCATCCCCTGGGTACAAGCATCCACTAAGTATAATCTACAGAATTTGCTAAAATTAAGACAAATGCAAAACTCAGAAATGTGTGAAATGACTTTACAGTACTTTCTCTTTATTTTTTCCATACTAATTTTGCAGTCAACAATGCTTCATTTGACCTGTAACATGAACAGCCCCTACAATATTGGTTAACCCATTGAGCCGCAATGTGCCCCAGTGCACCCTACTTTTTTTACCTGTCCATCGCCAGACGATTTTATTCGTCAATGGGAAGCTTTGCAACTTGATGAGTAGGGAAAAGTAATCTTTCAAAAATGTGTTCAAATAATGCTGGAAATGTCATTTCAGAAACCCAAATTTTAAGACATTGTGGGAAGGGTGTATGATGATGCTGGAACACCAAGCTCCCCACTCCTAGGAGTGCCAAGTCTCATGCACGATATGCAGTCAACCTCGACAGCTATGACACAGTAATTGTTTTGTAGGTCAGCCATGCATACTAGAAGTTATGTCACCTACCGACAATTTTTCAATGTCGGAGGCAGCAAGACGTTGAGAATTGTTTGTAGTCCAGCTGTTAGGTGACAAAATCGTTCGTTTTGTGATAAAAGCATGAAACTTGGCACACATACTCATTTCGATGTGCTTATTAATTTCTGATATGGAGGCATCCGAGATATGGCCTATCTTGCCGGTTATGCGCATGTCAAAAAACGTCATGGCATGAAAACGAGGCTGAGGAAAAATATCGCGTTTTGGGGACTTTTTGAAGTTGAATAATGCTAAAATCAATCGTGAGATGTTGTGTAAGCATCAATAGTAAGAAACAGGGGTAAAGAAGGCGCTCTGGGTATGATCACGTGATCAACCACGTGACTCACGAACCAGAATGTATTTTGTTTCATCATCGTTTCGAAATAAGCATAACTCGCATAGCATACGTCAGGAGTTGAGTCTTGTTGTGTATAGTCTTAGTTGTCATTAAAGTACTTGCAATTTTTTCCTTTTTCGTTTCTTTCTTTTTTTATAAATGCACGTTCTTGGGCCTGACGTTATATAGTACATTGCTGAAAAGATTAAATGTGTAAGGATCGATGATATTGCGTTTTTGCCATTATTAAACAATTTGATTTCATCTGTGTCATAATACTGGCATAACTTACATCAGGAGTCTTGTTAGTGGAGTCTCAGTTGTACGATATTGTTTTTCTTCTTTTTTTCTATTATTTTTTCCTTTTTTGTAAATTTATGTTCTAATAACATAGGATATTGCTGGAAAAAAAAGAATGTGTAAGGATCGGTGATATTGAAATATCAATGTTAGCCAGCGTTTTTTTGTCATCGGAAATCAAGGGATTTGATATCATCCGTGTCACAATAAACATACATATAACTTACATTAGGAGTCTTGGAGCGAGTGCCCACCACATAAACATAATGCTGTGCAGTCTAAACTGGCTTTAAAACACTTGCAATTTCCTGTGCAATTCTTTTTACAATTGCAATGAATCAGTTCATAGCACATGTCTTTAGCCTGATTTAGAGTCGTCCAATTTGGCTTCCATCGATTTTCAAAGTTCTTCCATCCCCATTCCCCTGGGCTAGGCATGTTTGGTTTCGGAATCAGCGTTTGTCCCCACACTATTGAACCTTGGAAAAGTGCCCTCAGAAGATGTTGTTTGAGTGCGTCTTGACTTGGTGGTACTAACTCGATGTTTTGAGTACGCTTGGAGAAGAGATATTGCCTTGCTTTGTTCACCTAAAAAGTAAAAAAATATATATAGTAAAGAAACCTTTTTAATATCCGTAACTCGTGACAGTACTAGTAAACTGATCAACTTGAGGATGACTGAGAACAAAGGCCAGGCCTGTTGAGCCTTACCTCTGTGTGAATACTGGTCTTGTCGTAGAGCAATACGATAAAGCGCTCTATGGTGGCCATTGAATTGTCGTTTAATACCGGCAATGGTGAAGAGAGATCGACTAATGTGGGTGATAAATCTGGATAGAGTTTCCAAATTTCCCAAGTGGTCTTTTTGCCTTTTCCTGTCAAGAACGACACTAAAAAATAAACGAATATTAATTGTAACTATTAAATTCGAGTGTAAGTATTAATAAACAGTTAATAATTGAATTACCTGTATCACAGCCTGTCATTGCATGAAATAAAGGCAGTGCTTTGCTTCTTTCATGCCCTAGCGCTCTTGCAATATCGTGTACTGCAAGATACCTAAAGTGCTTTCCAGTACCAAATGCCATCCACAATTCATTGATGGGGATGATATGAAATATTGATATCGCTAATACAACAACGTCAGTGTCAATTGTACGAATCATTATTTTTTGGTTTCCACAGACAGCCGAATCTTTCACATGAAGCATGATCCTTGTGTCCGCTTCTTCATGAGTGCATGGCTCTAGATGGGATAGATCTTGCCTGTTTGACCCCGAGTGCAGGACTTTTTCCTCAATGGTTGTGTAGATCTCTTTACTTTCTACTTGAAGTGAGGCAACTTGTTCAGACAAAAGATGAAAGAGTTCCACTTTATTCTCATCTACACGGAGAAATGAGTGCCAGTTACTTGGAATAGCAGTTGATGGCAACACTCTACGACGTGTTCCTTTGCCTCTCTTCTCCCTTGTGCATGTCTTGAGCGAGTCATCTTTATATATGTCCCAAACAATATCTATTCGCTTGGCGCGTTCCAGTTGTTTTGTAATATAAGGCATGAAAACAGTGTCAGAATATTCTTGGAATGTACGAGCTGTTCTTGGATTTAGCATTTGGACTGCTACCGCACCATCGAGGACCACACTCTCTACAATGGGCGGTTCATTGGGCCTGTTGGGTTGAAGAGCTTCAAGACAGTGTACAAGATCCGCTTTTTGGCCTTTTCTTATTTATCCTCTGTCGGCTAGTGACGGTGGCCAAGGCTGATTCTCATGACGAAAAAATTCCTCTAGGTTTCCATCGCGGTTTTGGCAAGCAATATATAGTCGAGAAAACAAGGAACAGTCATTCTTCAACTGGACAACTTTTGACTTATCCTTCGATTGAACTTTCTCGTCAGAATTGTGAAATAGCACCAACTTGTTTCTTGGGATAGGCTCTGAGATGGGTGTTGTTCTGTGTTTAAGTCTACATTCTACATATGATGTGTACTGTTCTTGGCCTATTTTAAGAACATTCTTTATCGCTTCCACAACACCATCGCTCATAATGTCTCTGGTATCAACTGCAAGGAGATTTTTTCCTTCTTCCTCAAAGGGATTTCCTAACTCTTCAAAGCTGTCAATAACTGACTGAACATCCCTACAAAATGCTGCTTGGTGGCTATACGACTGCTTGTGGTGCTTTAGACTATCAGCAGATCTAGATGATGTTGTTTTCTCAAATTCGGATACAATTCTTGCAATCTCGGGTCCTGAAATCATCCAGCGTTTCAATGCACCAGGATTTTCTGTCAGTCCCACCGCTCCGCCTTCACCTTTTACCACTGCATTCTCCTGCTCGTGAGCCTGGTCTAGTGCAATCGCAGAGAACCGTTTGTGTGTCTTATGGACAACAAAAAAGCCATTGATAAATTTCTCATACACATCAGGGTGTTTGATCGGCAGCTCTTGCATATCACGGATATGAACTGATAGCCATCTGCTGTAATTTGTCTGGTCAAGTGCAAACATCCATGGCATTATCTTCGTTAGAGAGTCGACATACAAGCTGAAATCCGCAGTTCTGAATGATTTGACCAGCTGCAAACAAAGTAGCTGTAACTCCATGACTCTACACCAATAGAGGAAGTGTGGACACGTTTCTGACATCTTATCTCTCCAATCTGTAAAAGACAGAAGGACTCTATCTTCCGCTCTTGTGATGCACTTCTCATATGCTCGATGCTGAAGAACGTAGAGGGATGAGGAAGTTATTTGATGAGCTCTCCTTGTTCTTGTGATATGCTTGGCTGAGATAAAAGAGTCAACAACTCCAGGTGTCGCAACATCAGCGTTTGCCATGACAGTTGTCCAGCCACTTTTGTCCAGGCATTTGCCTAGTGTTCTAAGTATGGCCAGTTCAATATGCAAGCCTCCAAACATGACCAACAACTTGTCTTCTCTGTGTGTATGGGGCCATTGCCATTGGATCTGTTTTGCAAGAGCAAATAGAGGTTGGTCCATGGCGATAACAGGGGTCTGTGCTGGATTTACCAGCTCTACAGCAGAGCGGATGACATTCATACCGTGAAGAATCATAGGTGCAGAGTGTGCGTTTTCCAGGAACAGGGGCATCAGTGAGGTAACAGCTGGTTCATAGTCAGGTAGTTGAGGTTCTTTGGATGCATGGTAAGCAGCCCATGAAATATCATCATCTGGTTTGAGCTTCTCTCTGCTTATCAGGTCCTTTACATTGTCAAGCCAGTGTACTTCTTTCTTGTATCCATAATTCTTTTCATTTTCTGCAGCTGAGAGCTGCCCAACAA